AGTAGGCTTGAAGGAGTCAAACTTAACATTCATCGTTCAAAGAAAAAAGTTATCCGGAGACATACTTGGAATGGGAGATGAAAATAAAGCATGTTTTCTCATGCAACAATTATGAGAAGACCCAAAAGACGAGTCTTGCAGCCACATAATTTTCTGACTATGTTCTTGTTTGGTGGAACAAACTACAAAAGGAGAGAGGTAGAAATAAAGAGTCAATGATTGATACATGGACTGAAATGAAAAGGATCATGAGGAAGCGATATGTGCCGGCTAGTTACTTAAGGGACTTGAAATTCAAACTCTAAAAACTTACTCAAGGAAATAAGGGGGTTGAAGAGTATTTTAAGGAAATGGACATGCTCATGATTCAAACAAAGATTAAAGAAGATGAAGAGATACCTATGACCCGATTTATTAGTGGTTTGAATATTTATATACGTGACATTATTGAGTTGCAAGAGTTTATTGATATGGATGATTTGTTTCCTAAAGCAATTTGAGTGGAATAATAACTCAAAAGAAAAGGAGTGACCAAAAAGAGTTCTACCAGCTTTGAATCTTCAAGTTGGAAGGACAGAAGTAAGAAAGATGAGGTTGCTACTTCTAGTAGTGTCACACTTATTCTCTCAAAGACTCATTCAAAGTCCCAAGAACAAACCTTTAAAAGAAGTAGAGATGTGAAGTGTTTCAAGTGTCAAGGCCTAGAACACTATGATTATGAGTGCCCTAACAAAATGTTCATGGTTCTTAGAGAGAGAGAATATATAAGTAAATATGAGATTGAAGAGGCAGAGGAGAGTGAGGACATTGAGGAGGAGGAGACTCCAAAAGGTGATTTATTGATGATTAGGTGATTATTTGGTAGCTAATTGAAGCTTGCGGAAGAAAACTAAAAGAAAAAACATCTTCCACACTAGATGTTTAATCAATGACAAGATGTGCATGACGATCATAGATGGAGGTAGTTACACCAATGTGGCTAGTGCTAAATTAGTGTCAAAGCTAAATTTAGCTACTAAACCATATCCTAGGCCTTATAAACTTCAATGACTTAGTAAAGATGGGGAGGTACAAGTGAGGCAACAAGTTGAAGTGGACATTTCCATTGGAAAATACAATGATAAGGTGTTTTATGATGTTGTTCCTATGGAGGTCAGCCACTTATAGCGTCAATCATAACGGTTCATCAAGAAGATCTCTTTCATACACCAAGACAAGAAGATTGTGCTTAAATATTTGAGTCCACAAGAAGTGTGTGAGGATAAAAAGAAAATGAGAGAAAAACTTCTTAAAGAGAAGAGAGAAAAATAAAGCGTTAGTGAAACACTTGAGAGAAAAAAGAGAGAGAGTGAAACACTTGAAGTGAGGGAGAGTTATTTAGCCACAAAACGTGAGTATAATGTTAGTTTCACATTCAATGTGTCTGACTTATCTCTTTTTGATGTAGATGATGAATCCGATTTGAGGAAAAATCCTCCTTAAGAGGGAGAGAATGATGGGGACATGACTATGAGTAAGGACAATGATCCACTTGATGGACTTGGAAGACCTATGACAAAGGCTAGAGCAAGAGAAACAAAAGAAGCTCTTCAACAAGTTTTGTCCATATTATTTAAATACAAGCTCACATTTCAAGGTGAAAAGACCAAAGTTGTGAACTACATCATGACCCAAATGGATAAAGACTAATGCATCACTTTGTTTCAGTCTTTAAGTTTGTTTAAATAATGGTCCAATCATTTGTAAAACTGGTTAACCAAATTATATTTTGGGTTAATAAATTAATGGGTTTTAATTTGGTTTTGTTTTAAGTTGTAATAATGGTCGAATTGGAAACTCAGGCATCAGCATTTGGAAGACCAAGAGGGTGCATAACTGATTAACTTTTAGAAGAAAACTCATCTCTGTTTTTTTCTTGTTCTCAGCTTTTAGTTGAACGAGCTCTTCTATTGTTATCGTATTTTCGGTTTGTTATTTTTTATTTAATTTTTAATTTCTATAAAATTTTTCATTGTTTTGTTTACTCTATTTATTTAGTGTTCATTTTTATTTTTTTATTTATTTGTTTATAATTTTTATTTTATTCTAGTAGCACTTAATTTTCATTTTCAATTCATCTTTCTTTTGATTACAAGTACAATTCTTAATTTTAGAATTATCTTTTCAAAAAAATTAAATTTAATTACTGCAATATTTTTTAAAACAATTTTTATTTTGCACTTTTAATAAAAAACACTTGATTTTAATTTTATAAATTTTAGTTATTTAAATTTTTCTTCAATTTAATTTTAATCATAATTATTATTCTTTACAATTTGATTTTTTGTTATTATTATGCATAAAAAAAATTTCCACTCTTTCATTCATTCTCTAATTATTCTTTTTATAGAGAATAATTTGTGATAATAAATACATTGCAATTGTGTCCCTGTAAAATTTGGTACGGGTTAATTGTAGGGTATTAGTTAAACAATTTATTTATTATTTTTTATTAGTAGTTTATATGACCAAAATATTATTGTCACTTATCTGTATATTTATATATTGTGTTTTTTTTTAATTGTGATGATATAATTTACAAAGGAATAGATAATACGAGTGTTGATCCCTAGTAGAAATAGGATGAGAGATTACAATATTTTTTATTAATTTTATATTTTATGATATTTGTAATGTATGTAAAAAATCTTAAATAAGAAGGTTGTTTATATTTTAAAAATAACTTATTCATATAAATTATATAAATATTTATAATATTCATATAAATTATATAAATATTTATAATATATGTTTTGGTATGTTATATTAATTATATTGATTAATTAAATATATAATAATTTATTTATTAATTATTAAATAATCAGATTTTTTTATTTTGATTTATATACTAATATTAAATATTTGTTAAATATTAAATTTGTTTAAAAGTTATTATATATATATATATATATATATATATATATATATATATATATATATATATATATATATATATATATATATATATATATGATGGGATATGTGCGGTTGACAAATCGTAGAGGACCACTCCGAAATTGTGGTGATGACGTAGAGATGTGGAAGATATCACCAATATCTGTCATCTCCTCCTCATGCAATCTTTTGAAAAAAAAAAGAAAAAAGAGAGTATAAAGTCAAATGATTTCATTTAGAAAATTGAAAATAAGTGAAAATTTATAAATACATAGGATTGATTTGATTAAATTTATAAGGATTAATTTTTTAAAACTTAAATATATTATATAGAAAATTATAAAAATTGATGGAACAAATAAAAGTAATATAGTAATTTATATATATGATTTAGAAATCAGACACGCTAAAAACATGTCTTTTCCCTAACCCACCTGAAAGGAACTCAAATTCACGTGTAAACAGTACTCTTTAAATCAGAAAAAAAATAAAAAAAAATAAAAAAAAATAAAGAGATAAATAAATTTACAATCCTTAAAATTTTGATAAAGTTTAATTACTTTATAACTATTTTTTTATTGAAATATCTGTTAGATTCTCACTTCGAAATATCTGTACTGATGATTGGTATGGTCACACATTTCAAGAAAAAAAAGTAATTTTGATTATTTTTCCTAACTTCATGAGATATCCCATCATCTAACAAAGACTACAAATTTAAATTTGGACCATCGAAACAAAATAAATATCTACAACTTTATCTATCATTTGTCTATCATCAAATAACTTATCGACCTCAAAATCATACCGTCAATTTAACCTTATCATCATCACCAATATTTATAGAAAAAAATACAATATTCTTATTTGTTAACTTATGACATTGTTTAATGTTCAAAAATTAATTATTAATTTATTCACTGATAGTATTTTACTTATTACTTTATTATATTTATTCATTATAACAAAAATACGATGTAAAAATAATTCAAACCTATATTATGCGCTCTCTCCCTAACTTATATTCATAAAGATTTTCCTTTTCTAATTCAATAAATTGCTCACATTTGTTGTTGTTTTTTTAGATAAATTCATAGAATGATTAAATGTTTTTAAAATTCAACCCGTGGTTAAACCAAGGGAAAATATGGTTCAGTGTTTAAATGTTTAATTGGGTTAATGGTTCAGTGTTTAAATATTTAATTGGGTTTAGGGTTTAGGGTCCTTTCAATATATATTTAATTAATTTCTTAAATAAAATTGTTGGATAAAAGTCTTAGGTATTATGTTGTTGTATACAATTTTTTTTATTTTATTTTTTTTCTGTTGTAATGGTTTAATTACTACTTTTGTAATTGTTTTTGTTTTTTATTTTAATGTTTATTGTTTCAATTTCATAATAAAAAAGTATTTTATAACTATTTTATGGATTTTTCTTATATTTTTATTTATATTTTTAATTGTATAATAACTGTTTTTTTCTTTATTATAGTAATTATTATTGTAATGATGTAACAAAACTGCTAGTCCTTACAAAACCAATAAAGATTAATCTTAGCGTATTATTTTCACGTTCCAAAATATTGGATATATTTTTTAAAATATTTTTTCATAAACACATTTAAAATAAAAAATGAAACAAACTTTCCTATAAATTAAAATTAAATTATACATCATTAAAAATCATATTTATCAAATAAAATAGCATTTAAAATTAGTTCGTTATATCTCATCTTAACATAAGATATTTTTACAATTCTCTAAAAGTGTTTATAAAAAAAAACTTTGGACTCCTAATATATATATATATATATATAATTTAAATTTTATATTTATTATTATCATATTATCAATCAGAAGTTATAAGGTGAATTTTGGGGATATTGACTTTACCCATTGTTAGGAAACCAGTAACCAATGGTAAAATTCATGATATAAACAATGCCTTAACTGGTTTGACACGGAACCAAAGTACAAGATATTAATATTGACTTTTAATCCTGTATAAACCATTTAATCCTGTATAAACCAATCCTTTCATCTCCACACATCACAGAGAGAAAGAAATGGAGAAGAAAAGCACTGCAAGAAGAGCACACTGCTTGGTGTTAGTGTTCCCTGCTCAAGGCCACATCAACCCCATGCTTCAGTTTTCCAAGTTGTTGGAGCGTCAAGGGGTGAGAGTAACGTTTGTCACAACAGTTTTCTGCGCCAAGAGTCTGCAGAAAGTGCCTCCTTCCATTGCACTTGAAACCATTTCTGATGGGTTTGATGAAGTTGGCTACCCAGGTGCTTCTAGCCACAAGGCCTACATAGATAAATTTTGGGAAGTAGGGCCACCAAATTTGGCTGAGCTTCTTGAGAAACTTGGTAGATCAGAAGATGATCATGTTGATTGTGTTGTCTATGATTCATTCTTTACATGGCCACTAGATGTTGCAAAGAGATTTGGGGTAGTTGCTGCTGCTTATCTCACTCAAAACATGACTGTGAATAACATATACTATCATGTTCAGACGGGAAAGTTGCAGGTTCCTTTAGTAGAGCACGAGATTTTCCTCCCCACCTTGCCTAAGCTCCAACCTCAGGACTTGCCTTCTTTTTTCCTTACATATGAACAAGACCCATCTCTGATTCAGTTTGTCGTGTCTCAGTTCTCCAACATCCACAAAGCTGATTGGATCCTATGCAACACTTTCTACGAAATGGACAAAGAGGTATATCTGCTAACAAGATATTGATTTCCTTTATTTATGAAAATCACGCATGGTTCTTCAACTTTTCTAATTTCTTCCATATTTCTTCCATGTTCTCTGTGTTCGTGGTACCTACATGATTTAATGTCCTATTGAGAGTTTGGTGAATATACATTATTATGAGAAAGAAGTTTGACATGTTGACATCCTCTTTTAATATTTAATAATAATCTTTGTCTATGTATCACGGTCTTTATTGAGATCCAAGATAATACATATATAAGTCAAATATATATTGTTAAACATTAAAGATCCCTTCTCCTTGAGAATGACAAGTTTACGTGTAAATCCTTTGTCCAGTAATCATCTGAAGTGTTCAATGGATGGATATTAAAAATATAATATAAATATTTTAAAAAATAAATTATAATAATGCATTTTTATGTTTGTAATTATTATATTATTCTAAGAGTTGTTTGTTAGTTTTTATAATATCTAAAATATAATAAAATAAAGAATAATTCAGTTTCTAAATTATTTTTGTATCGTTTAAAAATATTTTATACAATTTTATAGAAATTAATTTTTTAAAATAAAAAAATAAAGAATAATTTGATATTTAAATTATTTTTCTCTTATTTAAAAATATTCTACATAAATTTACATAATTTAAAAAATAATTTTTTGAGAGTTATATCTATATCTCTAAAGTACAAAGATAGGTATTTGGTTTATATTTATAACGATAATAAGTTGTTCACTCGCTGCACACGCAATAAAATGTTAAGCTTTGCAAGTTTTGGTCCTGAAGTTTAAACCTAGTGGCCTGGTTGATGTGTTGGTGATGACAGTTTTACAAGCAATTTATCACCGTCAAATGATTACAAAATGTGAGTGTTAAATTGTTAGTAATGGAAACATGATCATTCTCACAGTGTGTCAGAAAGTTCTGTCATAAACTTAACTAATTAGAAAAAGCTTTTGTAGCGGTTCTCACAATAGCAGCATCAATTATATCACCGTAGGGATTAGAACTTTAATGTTATAAAACTGAAATGATTTAACCTTTTTAAACTTTGGTAATTAATATTGTTTTACCTAGATCCCTTTGTCGTTTTAGATTGTAGATTGGACCATGAAGATTTGGCCTAAGTTTAGATGTATTGGACCAAATATACCATCTTTCTTCTTAGATGAGCAATATGAAGATGATCAAGATTATGGAGTGACAGAATTGAAGAGGGATGAATGCATAGAATGGTTAGATGAGAAGCCAAAAGGGTCTGTTGTTTATGTATCATTTGGGAGTATAGCTACCTTTGAGGAGGAGCAAATGGAAGAACTAGCTTCTTGTTTGAAAGAGTGTTCTCATTACTTTCTGTGGGTGGTTAGAAAATCTGAAGAGAAAAAGCTCCCTAGAGATTTTGAGAAGAAGACAGAAAAGGGTTTTGTAGTGACATGGTGCTCACAGCTGAGAGTCCTGGCTCATGAGGCTGTAGGATGTTTTGTGACACACTGTGGTTGGAATTCCACGTTGGAAACTTTGTGCTTAGGAGTCCCAACAATCGCAATACCATTTTGGTCAGACCAAAGCACAAATGCAAAGCTCATGGAAGATGTTTGGAAGATTGGAATTAGGGCTCCCATTGATGACAAAAAGCTTGTGAGAGGAGAAGCACTGAAGCATTGCATCAGAGACATAATGGAGAATGATAAAGGGAAGGAGATGAAAAACAATGCCGTCCAATGGAGTAATTTAGCTGTGAAGGCTGTCAGAAATGGTGGAAGCTCTCACAAAAATCTTCTAGAATTTATAAATAGCTTGTTTCATTAAGTAAGACTCATGCACAGACTTACAATTATATGCATGAAAACTATGATTATTAGATATTTTCATCAATCAAGGTGCTCTCACCAAACATTACATGCATCTTTCTACTCTTGTGGAGTAAATTTGAATTATTATTTTCTTATTTGAGATTTGAATATATGTTTTATAATTGAACCATGGTATATTGACAACCTTCTTATAAATAATTCCAAAAATAACTCATTTTATTAATATAATAACCATGAAAGAGATTTAATAAAAATAAAAAAAATTAAAATTATTATTATAATATAAAATGCAATTGTTTAATGGGTTGTTTTGCGTCAATAGTGGTGTAAAAAAATGTTTTCCTTATAATTATAATTAGAGTCAATGATACTATCGTTTACAGTGTATTTATTCTTAAGGAAAGGATATTTTCACAACCCATTTTTACAAACATCTTATTAATAATTTTAAAATAAATATTATTTTTACAATTATCTTATTAATAACTTTAAAATATTAATTTTTTTATTGATCGATAAAAAAAAATAAATAATAATATAAAAATCTAAAAATAAATTATTGAATAGGTATTTTTATTTTTTTAGTGCCAAAATATCTACACTCTTGTTTTTAAGGACGGAACATGAAAAGAGAATAAATACAATAATTTTAGAAACATGTGATTATTGTACTATTTTAGTACAACTACTTACTTCACTCTTGTACCTATTTCTCCAAACAACAGGTTATTTAGATAACGATTTATATATATATATATATATATATATATATATATATATATATATATATATATATATATATATATTATACTAATATTATTTAATGAGTTTAGATTTTATAAAATAAAATTTATTTTATCTATTTTTTCTTTTAAAAATAATCTATAATTTTATTTTTAGATATTTTTAAAATTTAAATTAAATTTTTTATTCACATTTAACATTAAAATAAAATACCATAAAATATTAAAATAAATACCTAATTTATAACAAATAAAAAAGATTATATATAATATTTCATATTTATATATTACACTAACATGTTAATTTATTATGATAATAAATAAAAATAATAAAGAAAATATATATTTGTTTAATATTTTTTACTTAAAAAAATTATAGTAATATATCTTATTTAATTTTAAATTTTTTATCTCAGAAGAAAAAAATTAAAAGTTACAATTTTTAATATTATAGAGATAAAATTATAAAACACAAAAATTTAAAACTAAAGAAAAAAAAATTACATTTTGTATGTTTGTCACAAGCTTCATGATTTAAATATTTAATCTTGTTTAACAAAATAACATTTTTAATAATATATAATATATTAAATATATAACAAATTTATTCCTAATTACAAATTTATTAAATATAAAAATAAAATCTCAATAAAATAATTATTATTTAAATTCGATTCAAAAGAAAAAAATATTATGTTAATATTTTTTTTAAAATTAACCTTTTGAAAAAAATAAAAAAAATACTTTCATCATAAATGCAATCGATTTTACAAACTTTGTTCTGATTTTTTCAATTTTATTATACAAATTGAATTGAGTTTTCATTTATTTTTAATAATGAACTGGTTCTCGGTTGAATTGGGTTAGAGTAATTAATTTGTTACCTATGTAAAAGATTGTTGGTAATCCTTTTGTATCCATATCTTCTATTAATATAGTTACCATGCATATTTTCATTTTATACTTAAAATACATAGTGACTAATTATACTTAAAAAAGTAAGAATATGTTTTTTACAATTTTTAAAAATAAGAATCACTAGTGCAAAAAAGGCTTTTAACGTCAGGTATTTTAGGTTTTTTACGTCGCATTTAAGACTGACGTTAAAACGGGAGACGTAAATTTACGTCGGACCCTTATCCTGACGTAAATTCACGTTAGTTATTGAGACCCAACGTTAATTTACGTTGCATTTACACTAAACAGACGTAAAAAGTATAAAAAATTTGGAGCAAATTTACGTCACCTATTGTTATACGCGACGTAAATTTGCTCCTTTTTTAAAAAAATTGGGTTTATTTTGTCTTACAACCAAAACCTACAAATATATATTATAATCAAACAATCCAGAGGTTGATGTTTCTTTAGCTATGTAATTAAAAAAATATAATATTATATATAATTCAAACTACAAAATAAAACAATATAATACAAACTAAAATCTATTACAAACTAAAAGTTAATACAAACTAAAAGTTAGTACAAACTAAACTACCTAAACTACATAATACACACAATATAATATAAACATTAACCTAAAAAATTAAGTACTAGAATTGTTGAACGAAAAACCTTGCCCATTATTCTCTAATTTGTGTGATATCATATTCTGACAATGGAGATGAATCTTGAAATACCTGAAACATTAATTTGACTCTTGTAAACATGCAACTAACATAAAGTTAAATAAACTTAACTAATGCTTGAAAACAATTACCTCCAGTCCAAGAATCAGTTATACCCGCACAAATTATGGCTCTCATCCAATACATAATATAGTAACCACATTCAAATGAGTCTGTTTGTTTATTACACTTGAAATGATGAATAAAATATAATGTTATTTTCAAAATTTAAATACAAACAATAATTATGGTATTCACTTATTATAATAAGTTTCTAACCTTAGGATAAATGAACTGCAAAGTCTTTGTTCCGGGTTTTCCACTTAGAACATTAGTTATAGACACAATTCTAAATGAAAAAAGCCATTTATTATTCAATACCTTTTCCATTTTCACTAGCAAATTTCAAAAATTCATCAACTCCCTTTTCGTACTCTTCACTAATACGACGTGCATTCATCCAACTTCGATTCATATTATGTTATAAAGTTTCGTCACTCCTAGAGATTCAAAATTTATATTTAAAAAAAATTAATATACAAACAACAAAACACGTATATGGAGTGTGTAAACCGAAAATGCACTCAAACAAAATAATGACATTCCAATAACAATCCAGTGGAGACATTCATACAATGACGTGATTGAGATCCCCAAAAACAATCACGGATTCAATTTGAACATATATCAGGAGACATAGAACACTAACCTCGAGTAAACACGAAAACAATTTCAAACTCGAATCCAATCGGGGAGAAATGTCAAATTCGTAAAATGAGATACAATGTTGATGTTTTTCACTGCCAAAATGATCAAAAATGGTGTGGAAAGATAGATGTCGTCGTCGTTCTCATTGTCGTTCTAAAAAACCCTTGCGGCGCGAGATGCGGGAGTGGGTCTGGAAGAGAATAAAAAGAACTTTTTACGTCGCACACCCTAACACGTGACGTAAAAAGCCTCTTTTACGTCGCGCAGCTCTCACGTGACGTAAAAAGTATCACTTTTTACGTTGTGCACCTTCATGTAACGTAAAAAATGATACTTTTTACGTCGTGCACCCCCACGTGACGTAAAAAGTATCACTTTTTATGTCGCGCACACCCCACGCGACTTAAAAAGCTCTCTTTTACGTCGCACTGTACACCACGTGCGACGTAAAAGAGGTTTTTAACGTTACCTCCTACAATATGCGACGTAAAAGTTTCACCCCTTATTTACAAAATTACCACCGCGTTTTATTTACGTCGAATATTTTGACATGCGGCGACAATTGGGTGACGTAAAATGTCATTTTTGCACTAGTGAATATAACTTTATGTATTTTAAGAGATATAAAACATATTTAAATATTATCTATTGATTTCACAAGTGCAAAGCATCTCGTGTCGGATGTATTTATAAAATTATACACGTGAAATGAAGATAATATAAACTAAAGTCAAGATTTTTTTTTTAAAATATATTTTAATTTTATGCTTGAAAAAAAAAATAGAATGTAAGTTCAGATATGTATTGTTGAAAAGTAACTTTCTTATATGATATGAATTTTGCAATATTAAGATAAAGTAAATACTCTCGAGTTTCATTTTTTTTATGAAGGTATTGTTAGAAAATTAATAATAATAATAATAATAATAATAATAATAATAATAATAATCCTGATTTTGATTCTAACTATCAAACATAAACATAATTTCATATTGATAAACATGTTGTAAACTGAATACGAAAGCGTACCTAAATTAGTCATAATGATGATGTCTTTGTAGAGTACTATATTGATCTTATGGTCTTCCACCTGAAGAGCACATGTATTTCCCTCTTGATTTTCTCTCTTGATGGGGATAGAAAGAAAGAAACGGGGGACTGATACTTACGTTCTATGTGTGTGCTCCTACAAGAGGACCATGGCCCTTTAAATAATCAGAATTAGGTTAATTACTTAAGTTTTAGTATTTCCAATTTAGTTCCTCATCAAATTAGAAATTACTCTATGGTCTTTACACAAATTTATTTTCATGACATATGGCTTTAGCCAAAATTTTAATTTAGTCAGATCACTTTATTATTTGACTTAATAAATAATGGCTCTAACACATTTAAATTACGTATCATATATATATATATACATGACCCAAATTTTGCCAACAATCTCCCACTGGTCACAAATATATATGTCCTTAGAACCTTACAAATGTGTTAGACTTTATGAGCTCAAAATTGTCATTATATTCCTTTAACATACTCCAAAAGTCATGTCCATTAATCATATCAGAATATAGAACCAAACCAGTTTTTCATTGTATCATCGCAACTAAAACCAACAATGATTACTCATCCTGACATAACTAAATGATATGGATTCATCATGAAATGTGTAGCATGAAAAATTACGTGAAGGTGATCTGTACACGTCTATTTTCAATTGGTCCAAACTTTAACTTATCGAGATCAATATAATATCCTTAATGTACAAAGTGTAATGAATGAATGAATGCATATCTATAGATAATCAAATATGTCCAAAAATCAATGTATACATATATGAAACTAAACATAGAATATAAAATATATGAAAGTGACTAACTCTCACTAAACCACAAATTCCTCAAACTGTAGAACACCCA